AGCGCTGAGGGAGCGCCGCGCTGTCGGAGGGTCAGCGCTGAGGGAGCACTGCAGAAGGTGCCATCCTTTGCAAACTATCTTAATCCGTCCCGTACCTGGGCTCACCTCACTCTTGGCTGTCTGTTGGAGGTGAAAAGTCTTTCAAAGGCCCTCCTGATTTGAATGGCTGCAGAAACAGTGGGGCTTGTGCCTTCTGTCTGACCAGCACCAATTGCACCAGCCTATCAGAAGTTGGGATTCCTGCCTCAGGGAGCCCTTCGCTCAGGACGGGGTATATGTTTGCACGGGGCAGAAGGGATGGATGGGACCCATGCCTCTGACTCTGTGTTCACCAGCATCTTTCCAATTGGATGCATAGGATTACGACGGTGATCATAAAAAACTGAGACGACGGGAAAAGAACAGGATTGCGGCTCAAAAAAGTCGACAGAAGCAGACGCAGAAAGCGGACAGTTTGCATCAGGTAAGGAATGGTGCCTTCATTGAATCCCTACAGCATGGAAGCAGGCCCTTCTAGTTCACACTGACCTTCCAAAGAGCGTACCTCCAAGATCCACCCTATCCCTGTAACCCTACACTTCCCACGGCCAATCCACCTAGCCTACACATCCCTGCACACTATGGGGATATTTAGCACGGCCATTCCAACTAACCTGCACGTCTTTGGACTGTGGGAAGAAACTGGAGCACCCGGAGGAAACCCACGCAGATACAGGGAGAACGTGCAAACTCCACACAGATAGTCACCCAAGGGTGGAATCGAACCTGGGTTCCTGGTGCTGTGAGGCAGCAGTGCTAACCACTGCGCCACCCGCAAGAAATCAGGGCTCTTCCGGGACTTGAACCTAGATCTCTCGCGTATCTGCAACATACAACGCCTTAAGTGAGAACCATGCCCCAAACTAACGAGCCATCACTTTGTGCCCTCTCTAGGTTGGCTTTGCTTAGGCTCTCCACCAGAATCTTCCAGCCCAGAAGGAGGCCATTTGGCCCAACAGGCCCTGCCAGCTCTTTGAAAGAGCTCTGCAATAACCAACCAACATTCTCCCACCCCATCCAGGTTTCAAAAGCAAAGGTGGCGCCCTGTAAATTTAATGCCACCATATTTTAAATGGTTTGACAGTTGGTGGTAATTATGTTTGTAGTCCAGAGGCCCGGGTTAATGCTCAGGCTGCACACGTCTGGGTTCAAATCCCACAACGGGATTTAAATTCAATTGTCCATTCCGGAAGATGAAGCTAATCTCAGGAATAGTGACCCCCAACTATGATCGCTGAATGTCTTAAAATCCCATCTAGTTCACACATATCCGTTCAGGGAAGGAAATCTGCTGTCCTTAACTGGCCTGGCCTACATGTGATTCCAGAAACTGACTACGAACTGCACTCTGAAATGGCTGAGCAAGCTTCTCAATTCAAGGTCAGCAAAGGGTGGGCCAACAGTACTGGTCTTATCAGTGAGGATTGAATCCTATCCATGAATGAAAAAGAAAATAAGCATTCACTGACTGAAGGCAGATGGATGGGGGGGAGAGCGGCGTTGGGTGCATTGCTCATTCTGAGTGAACACAGTCACAATAGGCTGAAACACAGAAAATAACAATTGGCCATTCAGCCCCTCGAGCCTGTTCCACCATTCAGTAGGATCCTGCTTTCTCCCCCATACCCTTTGATCCCTTTAGCCCTAAGAACTATATCTAACTCTTTCTTGAAAACATTCAATGTTTTGGCCTCCACTACTTTTTGTGACAGAGAATCCCACAGGTTCCCCACTCTCTGGGTGAAGACATTTCTCCCCATCTCAGTCCTAAATGGCCCACCCCGTAATCCTTAGACTGTGACCCCCTGGTTCTGGATTCCCCAGGTCATCAGGAACATCCTTCTTGCATTTACCTTGTCTAGTCCTGTTAGAATTTTATAGGTTTCTATACATTCTTGTAGATCCCAGTGAATATAGTCCTAACTGATCCAGTCTCGCTTCATATGTCAGTCCTGCCATCCCAGGAATCAGTCTGGTAAACCTTCGCTGCTCTCCCTCCATCACCAGAACATCTTTCCTCAGATAAGGAGACCTCAAACTGCACACAGTACTCCAGGGCCATCTCACCAAGGTCCTATACAATTGCAGCAAGACATCCCTGCTCCTGTGCTCAAGTCCTCTCACAATGAATCCAACATACCATTTGCCTTCTTCACTGCCTGCCTCACTTGCAGCAACTGATGTTCAAGGACACCCCGGGTCTTCCCCATTTCCCAATCTATCACCGCTCAGATAATAATCTGCCTTCCTGTTTTTGTGCCAAAGTGAATGATCTTGCATTTATTTACATTATACTTCGCCTGCCATATATTTGTCCATTCGGTCGACTTGAATGGTCTCCGTGTGTGCTGTACCTATTCTCTGAATCTGTGTCTGTTTCCCTTTCGGCAAGAGTTGAGTTTGCAACGGGTATCTGCTATTTCTGTCTCTAGGTTATTGCTCCTTCCAGATAGACTTTACAATAACAGTGTTCGGACACAACGTGTTTGTGAGGTCGGGCTTGCGAGGATGTGGTTAGCAACAGAAGTGTTGTAGCCGTCAGCGAGCGTGTGAATCTGATTCTCTGCTCACGTCTGCTTGGCCCTGACTGAACTGACAAAGCAGGCTTCACTGGCGTGCTTCTGAAGGCAAAGCAGTAAATGGAGTTTTGCCCACTGGTGCCTTCAGGTGCCCACAGCTGATGGGTAAGAAAGGGGGTACAGTCGTGATACTGCCTCCCACCTCCAACATCCAGTCAAATTCCCCACCAGGGTGAGGCTTTGTGAGGACACACTACACTTTGGAACAAGTAGAACATTTTTTCTGCCAAATTATTCAAGACATCAAGGAGCCAGGCGTGGGATTTTAAACAGTGTCGTTCTATCCCAGCAGCATGGGATTCGGGAGCAGGAGTAGACCATTCAGCCCCTTGTGCTGGGCTGGGCATTGAAACAGCATTTAAGAGGACAGAGATTCCCCTAACGACTGACTGTTAGGGTTAACCAAAGCAGAAGTAATAGGAGTAGGATCAGGCAATTTGGCTCCTTGAGCCTCTCCTCCCATTCAGTGAGATCGCCAACTGTTTGTGGCCTTGACTCCAATTTCCTGTTCTTCTCCCACGATCCTTCGTTTCCTCGTTGATTGTAAAATCTGTCTAACGCAGTAGTGAATAAATTTAAAGACCCTCCTCCCACTGCTCTCTGGGGAAGAGAATTCCAGAGGCTAATGACCCTTTGAGAAGAAACATTTCTTCTCATCTCAGTCTTAAAAAGGAGATCCCCTAATTTTTAAATAGTGTTCCCTCGTCCTGGACTCTCTCTCATTAGGGGAAAACATCCTCTGAGCTTTCACTATCAAGTCCCCACAGGATGGTGTGTGTTCAGTAAGACTGCCTCTCATTCTTCTAAATTCCAATGGATACCAGCATAACCCTGTCATCATCAAACAACCACCCCCCTTCCCAGTTGAGCAAACCTTCTCTGAACTGCTTCTGAAGCAATCCCATATACTTCCTTAAGTAAAGAGTCCAAAGTGAGGAGGCCAGATGCAGTCTCATCTACAATTGCAGCAAAACTTTTATGCTCGATTCCTTGTCCAATAAACGCCAACAATGCCATTTGCCTTCCTAACCACTTGCTGCACCTACATATTAATGTTCTGTGATGGACTCATGCCACAGACTAGTACAGTATGGCACTTTGTTTCGACAACCGCCACCCCGGGGGTCATAAGGTCAAGATACTGCAGCAGACCAGAGGGAGTGGTTAGCACTGCTGCCTCACAGCACCAGGGACCCAGGTTTGATCCCACCCTTGGGCGACTGTCTGTGTGGAGTTTGCACGTTCTCCCCGTGTCTGCGTGGGGTTTCTGCAGGTGATCTGGTTTCCTCCCACAGTCCAAAGATATGCAGGTTAGGGTGGGATTGGCTGTGCTAAATTGCCCCATAGTGCCCAGGGATGTGCAGGTTAGGGTGGATTGGCCGTGCTAAATTACCCCATAGTGCCCAGGGATGTGCAGGTTAGGGTGGGATTGGCCGTGCTAAATTGCCCCATAGTGCCCAGGGACGTGCAGGTTAGGGTGGGATTGGCCGTGCTAAATTGTCCCATAGTGCCCAGGGATGTGCAGGTTAGGGTGGGACTGGCCGTGCTAAATTGTCCCATAGTGTCCAGGGATGTGCAGAAAAGGTGGATTAGCCGTGGGGAATGCAGGGTTAAAGGGCAGGGGTTGGGTGTGGGTGGGATGCCCTTCAGCTGGGCAGTGCAGACTCACTGAGCTGAATGGCGTCTTCAGTGCTGTAGGTATTTTTATGAGTTGGGGGTCATGTGGCAGTTCAGTGCCTTGCTTCACCTCTTTCTGAGCGGAGCCCTGTTTTGTCCCTTCAGGAGTATGAGCAGCTGGAGAGAGAGAACGCCTCGCTGAAGAAGGAAATCCAGGGCCTGCGCGACGAGCTGAAGCACTGGAAACAAGTGGTTCAGCAGCACGAACCACACTGCTCTATGCTGTCTGTGAATGGCACAGCCTTTGTTGGCAAACAGCACGTCAACGTGACAGACTTTCTAGCTGAAGACTGGCAGAAAGCAGAGGTCATGATGTACTAGACTGCAGCTCTCTAGAGAGAGTGTTGGGTTGGTGGGGGCTTGGGGTTAGGATGCAATAAGGCTAAGAGGGGAGGGGGGGAGGGGAGGGGGTGTTGAGGTTACTGTGTACTTCCAGCAGGTATCATCCAGAAGCAGGTGGGCTCCGAAACTCACCCTGACTCCCCTACTTTAAGGTCACGCGTCAATGACTCCCAACGACGGTGGAGTGAAATTGCTGGATCTGGAGCAGACAGACACATGCGCTGGGAGCAGAAGACGGCCACTCTGCCCCTCGAGCCCGCCCTATTCCCAGCAGCTTCGTTCGCAGACTCCCCAGAACTCTGGACGGCCAGTGGTGTACAACCATGGACTGTGCGCTTCTGCTGCCACCGACTGATAGTTGTGGCTTCAGAGCGATTTTGTTTCGGGCGATTTCTGAAGCAGCTTGAGAATCCCATGGCAGGAAAGGAGGCAACATGAAGCAGTGTGTCATCATCATGTGTTTCCAAAGTCCCCGTGAACTGGGCCAGCTCCTGTCGCTTGGAAAGTAAAGCCTTTTTCTTTTGATCTGCGTGAACAGACGCAGCGGTGGATGCGTGCTTTGCTGGATGCTTGGTGAGTGAGTGAGCAAAGGAAGCATTTGAAGACTTGGGAAACAGTTTGCATCTCCTCCACTTTGTCATCTGTGGGAGAGTCCATGACCCCTGCTTTACAGTTCCAGTTCCCTACATTCAAAGCCTTGAAGCAGATGCAGTGCTGTTTTTTTAAAATATCTATTTCAAACCAGTCGCACAGATTGCTGATGTGAGTACATTTTCTACCCAGATACGGGGTTAAAATGTGCAGTTTTTTAGAAACAAGTTAGAAACAAAGGCCCAGCAGTTATTGCCTCGACCCTAAATGCCCCTTGAAGTTGGTGGTGAGTCATCGCTTTGAACGGCTGCAGTTCATTGGGGGAAGGTATATCTAAGGGTCACCCAAGGTACACCCATCACCTTGAACTGCTGGAGTTCATTGTGGGGGAAGGTACACCCAAGAATTTGTGACTGCAGACTTAAAAAGGAGCTTGAAATGAGAGCCAGGCCATTAAGTGGGGAGATGTCAGGAAGCATTTCTTTAAATGTAGGGAAGTGTGTAACTCCCACTATCAATGACTAATGTTTTTGGATGCTCTCAATCACTTAAAATCTCAACTAAAAATTGATAGATTTTTCTTTTAACGGGACCAAAGTGGGTTTCACTTTCTTCATTTATCAGATGTGAGCATTGCTGGCCAGGCCAGTATTTGTTGTCTGTCCCTAACTGCCTGTGACTGGGTGTTGCTCTGCCATTTTGAGCAGGGGCGGTTCAGAATCAATCTCAATGCTGTGGGTCAGAAGTCAAGTGTAAGCCAGACCGGGTAAGGAAGGCAGATTTCCTTCCCTCAAGGGCATTAGTGAACGAAATGGGCTTTTACAACTATTGATGATGACTTAATGGACGAGGAAGTGAATGGTCTCCCCTTGCTCAGACACTAGCTGCATTATTTGGTTGACAGAGATGGGGGTGGGGGTAGAAGTCGCAGAGAGAGAGACTGAGCAAAATGTGCTCTCCCTCTTCCCTGCAGGTCAAAATGCGCAGTAATCCATTCCAAACTTGTGGATCTATGAGATCAGCTTCCTGAAGCAATCCCTATTGTGTTGTTCCAAGGCCCTGATTTTTTAACACTGATGACTGATTCATCTGAAATAGGAGCAGGAGAAGACCATTCAGCCCTTCACACTTGCTCAGCCATTCCATCAGATCATAACTGATCTATCCACTGTCCCGTGTTTCCCGTTCCTGTCTACCCATCGATCAATTTCTATCTTGACTATGTTCAATGACTAAGCATCCACAGCTCCCTGGGTAGAGAATTCCAGAGATTCACAACCTTCTAAGCAAAGATGTCTTCCCTTCATCTCGCTCCTAAATGGCCTGCCCCCTCAGCCTGAGACTATGAGCCCATTTTTCCACAATTCCCCGTCAAGTTTGGGGAGTCAGCTCTATCCTACCAAGCCCTTTGGGAATTTGGCCCGCTTGTGAAAAGATTTGGTAAAAGGTCACCTTCCTTGTCATCCTAAACTCCAGACCCACAGACCTAGTCCAGCAGGGAGGGAGTTGAGGATTCAATCACCTATTAGTACAGTGGTCATCCCAGAGAGCCACTTGGTGGATGGGATGTACCGTTGCAGATTGCTGGCATTGTCTGGCCTGGTTAGTATTCTCTGCATTTCCAGTGTGCCCACATAGGGCAGGATGCGAAAGATTTTGGAGAATGTAGAGTAAGGGCCAAGGATTGGGGGATTGGGCTTCAGTTCATGGAGAAGCTCGAATTGTTCTTCCTAAACCAGTGAAGGTTAAGAGGGGATTTACAGCTGTGTTTAAAATTAAGAAAGTTTTTGATGGCAGGACAGGTAGAGCTGTGCAGCATTCTAGGCTTCATTAATAGAGCCATAGAATGGGGGAGGTTATGGTGAACGTATATAGGACACTGTTAGACCCCAATTGGAGTATTGTGTACAGTTCTATGCACAACTTCATATGAAGGATAGGAATGCATGGAGAGAGAGTGGAAGCAGTTTACAAGAATTGTTCCAGGGATAAGAAACTACAGTTATAGGTTGGACAAGTTGGGACTATTCTCCTTGGAGAGAAGTCAAAAGGGAGATTTGATAGAAGTTTGCAAAGTCATTGGGGGTCTGGAAAAAGAGAGAAACTATTCCCGCTTGTAAAAGGATCGAGGAGCAGCGGGCATGGTTTTAAAATGTTTTGTGAAAGAAGCAAATGCGAAGTTTAGAAAGAAACTTTCTCACGCCTCAAGAAGTTACGGTCTGGATTCACTGCCTGATGGAGGCAGGTTCAATCGAGGGCACTGAGATGGTTATTTAAATAGGAACAACGTGCAGGCTAACGGGGATAACGCAGCAGTTGGGCACTAAGTCAGAATGCAGAGTGGCATTGCTGACACATCAGGCCAAATGGTCTCCTCTTGGACAGTAACCATTCTACGGTTCTGTAATGCTGACAGGGTTGACAGGGAAAGGATGACAGGATGTCGGAGGCTTAGTAATCAGGGGGTGCTGATCCAAGATGATCTGCAAAGGAACCAGAACGGGAGATGAGATGGCAGTGCCATCTTGGAAGTGCTGCTTCAGAGAGTGGTGGAAGCGGATTCAATAGGAACTTTTGGAAAAAAACGGGTCTAGGATTAATACTTGAGGAGAGGGGGAGAAAAATAATTTGTAGAAAAATGGCAAAAAGGTGGGGTGGGTTGGTGTTGCTGGGTTGAATTGGACCCCCAGCAGAGGCACATTGGCCTGAATGACTTCTTCCAGAATTGTAGGAATGAATAGCTGTTTTTCCCCCTCTGGTTTTGGGGAGGGAAGTGTGGATTTGTAGGCATTAATCCCTGGAGCTTGTGAAATAGACGAAATACTGCCCACTTTGCTCTGATGTAGCCAGCTGTCTACAGATGCTGCAGAGTCTACCTGGAGGAGGAACCAAGGAAGGTTGCAGCATTACAGAAACAGTTCTTGCCAAGGAGATTTATACACTAAATAGGAGTAAGCTCTACACTCCCCTTTTACCTCGGTGTAAGATATACCTTCGTTTTGTAAAGTTAATGTATAAAGTTGTGTAAATCCAATTTGGATGTGTATCTATTCTCATGGAATTTAGTTGATTTTTGAAAATAAAGATGAGGAAACAGACTCAGACTGTGGCCTTTCCTACATGAAACGGGGGCTGGTGGTGGTGAACACAGCGGGGGAAGACGACGGTCTCCAAGTAGCAACTTGCTCTGATGTGTGCTGGCCAATTTTGAGGGTGCGTTTGTTTTTGAGGGGTGGTGCTGGGGAAAACCCATTTGGATAACGTCGCACCCTGCGCTCTTTAAAAACAAGGCCCTGTCGAGCGGAAAATTTTGAAAAATGTTTAGCTGGGGGTGAGGGAAGGAAAATTTAAAAGAGGAAAGAGAAAAAAAACCCGCAGAAACTTGAAAGTGGGTCATTGACAAAGAGCTGCTCTTGGTGGTGTGCAAGGGGGAAAAATTCCCACAGCGGTTGAAACGGAGGTGTGAGCCGTCAGTGTGAAATCGCACAGGTATCTTACTGAAGTACGTCAGAGCTGCTCTGCTCTGAGAACGTTTGGCCTTCTACCGGGCCAGGCGTGTACTTGCAGCTGGAGGTCTGATACCTTCCCACAAGCAGACACCCACCCACATCCTGTTTTGATTGGCTTTCCAGTAAATGACCTTTGTGAGAATTTTGAGTGCTTAGGAAACAGCCGATGTGACGTTCAGATACCTGGTGTCTGAAATTCCGTTCTCTCGAACAGGATGTTTTCAAACTTGTGTTTTTTTTTTGACAAAAAAAGAGAGACAGAGAATACAACTGTGCTTGCATAGTCTTCACAGGCTGTTGGGCCCATCTTATGTTCCACAGAACTCCATCCACCCAGCCCATCATCTTACCTCATCACCATATCCCTTTCTCCCCTTACATTTATCCATCAGTACCCTGTGGAAAGTGTCTATTTTATTCACATCCGTGGTAGGTATTTCCCTATTCGCCTACTCTCTGGTTAAGGAGGTTTCTCTCATAGAATCCCTACAGTGTGAAGCAAGACATTCAGCCCAATGTAGTCCACTCCAACCCCCCAAAGAGCCTCTCACCCAGACCCATCGTGCCCCCCCTACTCTATCCCTGTAACCCTGCATTTCCCACAGCTAATCCACGAAACTACACATCCCTGGACACTACAGATAATTTAGCATGACCAATCCACCCTAACCTGCACATCTTTGGACTGTAGGAGGAAACCAGAGCACCCGAAGAAAGCCCCAAGCAAACATGGGGAGAACGTGCAAACTCTACATAGACATTTGCCCGAGGGTGAAATCAAACCCATGTCCCTGGTGCTGTGAGGCAGCGGTGCTAACCACTGAGCCACCGTGCCACCCCTCCTTCAATTATTTATGGCTCTGCATTCCTTTGAAAAGAAAACCTACTTTATTTGTTCAGAGGTAGTAAGAACTGCCGATGCTGGAGTCAGAGATAGCACAGTGTGGAGCTGGAGGAGCACAGCAGGCCAGGCAGCATCAGAGGAGCAGGAAAATTGACGTTTTGGGTCGGGACCCTTCTTCAGAAATGAAACCATGAGGCAGGTTAGGCTATTGGCATGTTCCCATTTAACAACCCCCCACTACAAACTTTGATTCCCCTGACTAGCCAGATTCTGTTGACCTCCATCTTAAACAACAACCCCATCTCTGCCAATTTCTGAGACGTAGAGATCAACCATCTGAGAGAAAAATGTCTCCTTATCATAGATTTCCATGCATTTATGTTCCAGCCCTCAGCAAAATTTTGTTGGATTCCTCATTCATCTACACTATTCCAAAGCTGCAAAGCAATAAATAATATTTTTAAAATGTCATTCAATCTAGTCCACTCTATCGCAACGATTATTGCATTAGTTATGCTAACTGCCTTATGTAAAGGTGAGTGGTCAGCTGCCTTCTTGAACTGCTGCAGTCTTGTCTGGTGTAGGTAGACCTACACTGGGCAGTAAATTCCAGGATTTGGACCAAACGATGACTGTGATTAACATCCACTAATGTATAGTAAGGATGGGAGAGCATTGGAGGGGGCTGTAAAGGAGATTCACCAGGATGTTGCCTGAGATGGAGCATTTCAACTACCAAGAGAGGCTGGGTAAGTTCGGGTTGTTTTCTTTGGAGCAGAGAAGGTTGAGCGGGGAACCTGATAGAGGTGTAGAAGATTATGAGGGTGGATAGATGAAGGGTCAAGAATAAGGGGTTGCGTAAGTTTAAAGTGAAAGGCAGGAGGTTTAGAGGGGATTTGAGGAAATTGTTTTTCACCCAGAGGGTGGTGGGTGTCTGGAATGCACTGCCTGGGAGGATAGTTGAGACGGGAAACATTATAACCTTTAAAAAGTACTTCAATGAGCGCTTGAAGTGTCATAACATTCAAAAGACTTTGGGCCTAGTGCGAGCAAGCGGGACTAGTGTCGATAGTAGTGTATTTTTAGCTGTACAGACTTGATGGGCTGAAAGGCCTGAATGATTCTGTGAATGTACACTGCTTGAGGCCTGAATAATGACAGTGCGTACAAGGAAAGGTGGTGGTGTTGTGGGAATGTTACAGGATTACTGATCCAGTGAATCAGGCTAATATTCTTAGGGGCATGAGTTTCAAATTCCATCATGGCAATTAGTGGAATTTGAATTCAACAAATGAATCTGGAAGTTGAAACCACTGACGATTGTCATAAAAACACATTTCCCCCAAAAGAAGCAAATTTGCTTCACTAAACTGGTCTGGCCTACATGCGACTCCAGACCCCCCTCAACATAACTGCTCCCAGCAGTTGTATCAAACTGCTACGCCAGTCTAAAAGGAATGCACTACAGTCGTTTTTTAAAATTCATTAATGGGATGTGGGTGTTGCTGGCTAGGCCCACATTTATTACCCATCCCTAACTGCCCAGAGGCCAGTTAAGAGTCAATGACATTGCTGTGGTTCTGGAGTCACATGCAGGCCAGACCAGGTAAGGATGGCAGTTTCCTTCCCTAAAGTACATTAGTGAACCAGATGGGTTTTTCCTGACAATTGACAATGGTTTCATGGTCATCATTAGATTCTTAATTCCAGATTTTTTATTGAATTCAAATTTCACCATCTGCCCTGGCAGGATTTGAACCTGTGTCCTCAGAACCTTACCTGGGTCTCTGGATTAACAGTCCAGCAATAATACCATGAGGCCATCACGTCCCCTTAAACTGATTTGAGAAGGTAGCTCATCACTTAACTTTTCGAAGGGAAATTAACATGAGTTCAAGGGGTAATGAGGCATAGGCAACAAATTCGGGCCTAGCCAGGTATGCCTACGTTCTGTGAACAAGTAAATCAACAAGTATAACAGGGATAAATGCATTGCAGGAGGGGGTAGGTAAAGGAATAAAAAGAAAGATAGAGTAAGATGCTGTTCATTTCTACATATGTCAGATTGGCTTCATTTTCTCCTCCCAGGAGATGGCAAGGGAGGATGTGAGAAGAGGAAATAATGGAGCGAGTAGGTCTTGGGGATCGACTCTCCCGTTTTGCCACCTTAGCAATTACTTTTTAGGTGCAAAGGTCCACTTTCTCGATCTGCTGCTAATTAAGGCCATTAACTGGTCAATTGACAGCTACTTAAGGGACTCAAGCCTACTTCTTCCATCACCTACTCCCTGTCTAGGGTGAAGGACGGATGGTATGGCTGCCAAACTGGCTGACGACACAAAGATAAGTAAGAACATAAGTTATAACGGGAACAATAAGGATGCTATAAAATGAGACAGGCAGGCTACATGTGTTGGGCAAAGATCTTACAAATGGAGTCCAATGTGACAGAAAGAATTTAAAATAATAGCACATTATCAAAATGGTGAGAGATTGCAGAGCTTTGAGATGCAGAGGGGTCTGGATGTTGTTGTGCACAAATTGCAAAAGGCTAGTATGCAGGCATAGCAAGTAATTAAGTAAGTTAATAGAATGCTATGGTTTATTGCGAGGGGAATTGAATACAAAAGTAGGGAGGTTATGTTTCAGTTATACAGGGCACTGGTCGGACCACATCTGGAGTACTTTGTACTGTATTGGTCTCTCTTCATTTAAGGAAGGATGGAAATGTGTTCAAAGCAATTCAGAGAGGGTTTATTAAACTAATAGAACATAGAACAGGCAGCACAGGTATGGCCCACGATGCTGTGCCGAACATGATGCCAAATTAAATTGATCCCTTCTGACTACCCATGATTCATATCACTCCATTCCAAATTAAACCGATCCCTTCTGACTACCCATGGTTCATATCACTCCATTCCACGCATATTCATGTGCTTATCTAAAAATTGCTTACACGCCTCGATCATATCTGTCTCCACACCACCCCTGGTAGGATGTTCCAGACTCCTACCACCCTCTGTGTAAAAAAATTTGCCCCTCACATCTCCTTTGAACTTTCGCCCTCTCACCTTAAATGCATGCCCCCTAGTACTAGACATTTCAACTCTGGAAAAAAGATTCTGACTGTCAACCCTATCTATGCCTGTCATAATTTTATAAACTTCTATCAGGTCTCCCCTCAGCCTCTGCCGCTCCAGAGAAAACAACCTGAGTTTTTTAGCCTCTCCTTATAGTTCATACCCTCTAATCCAGGCAGCATCCTGGTAAACCTCTTCTGCATCCTCTCCAAAGCCTCCACATCCTTCCTGCAATGTGGCAACCAGAATTGAACACAATGATAATACCTGAGTTGTTTTATGAGGAAAGGTTGGTCTTGTCTCCACTGGAGTTTGGAAGACTAAGAGACGACTTGCTTGAAAGATGTAAGATCTCGAGAATTCTCAACAGGGTGGATGTGGAGAGAATCTAGAACTAGGTGCCTTTTTCCAAATTAAGGGGTCAACCATTTGAGACAGAGATGAGGAGAGAGGATCAGGAGTCACAAAGTGTCGCGAGTCTTTGGAGTCCTCTTCCTGAAAAGGCAATGGAAGCAGAGATTTTGAATGCTTTTATGGCAGATGCCTAGTAAGCAAGGAGGGTGAGCCGAAAGGTGAATTTGAGGTGGCAACCCGATCAACTATGGTCTCATGGAATGTAATAGCAGGTTTGAGGGCTAAGTGTTCTACTGCTCCTTGTTTGTATGTTCAATAAGATTACCTCTCAAATTGCCTTTCTAATCATTTCCTGGACCTGCACACTAACCTTTTGTGTTTTACATACCAGAGCATTCAGATCCCAAGTACTGCAGCATTGTGTAATCTCTCTACACTTGAATTATCTGCTGCATTTTTATTCTTCCCATTAAATTGAACAAGATCGCATTTCCCACATTATACTCCATCCGCCAATTATATTGCGCACTTACTTAACCCTTCGCAGACTCCTAATGACAGGCGATCCCAAATAATTTTCCACTATGAACCTGCTTCAAAATGTGTGAGAGCGAAGGTCAGGGATTGGGGGAAAGGGATGCCCTGTAGTGACCATTGCTGCCTTGGACATTGTAACTCCATAATCTCATCTTGTAAAACCACTTGTGGGTCATGTCCCCTTCACAACTCACTTTCCTACCTGTATTTTGTGCCATCAGCAAGCTTAGCTACTGTACACTCAGTCCTATTATCCAAGTCTTTGACATAGATTGTAAATATTTGAGGCAATAGCACTGATGCCTGAGGCATTCCACTGAATGCATCTTGCCAATCCAGATTGCTCAGTTTTTTGTCTAGTGTCTGCTTTGTGCTAGCTACCCAATCCTATATCTGGGCTAACAAGGTGTAGAGATGGATGAGCACAGCAGGCCAAGCAGCATCAGAGGAGCAGGAAAGCTGACGTCAGCTTTCCTGTTCCTCTAATGCTGCTTGGCCTGCTGTGTTCATCCAGCTCTACACCTTATTATCTCAGATTCTCCAGCATCTGCAGTTCCTACTATTCCTATATCTGGGCTAATCTGTTAGCTGCTACACCTTGGATGCTTGCTTTGTACAGTAAGCTTTGATGTGGCACTTTATCCAATACCTTCTGGAAATCCAAGTACATCACATCTACAGGTTCCCATGTGTCCATGTTGCTGGTTACTTCCTCAAAGAACTGTAATAACTTAGTGAAACATGATTTATTTCACAAATCCATCCTCCTAATGGATTCTTATGGGAGTGGTCATCCTCTCTGGCCCCTCTCCTGATGGAGGTGGTCATCCTCTCCAGCCTCCCCCTGATGGCAGTGGTCATCCTCTCCAGCCCCTCTCCTGATGGAAGTGGTCACTCTTTCTGGTCCCTCTCCCAATAGGAAAGGTCATCCTCTATGGCCCCTCTCGTGATGAAGGTGGTCACTCTCTCCAGCCCCTTTCCTGATGGGAGTGGTCACTTTCTCTGGCCCCTCTCCCAATGAGAGCGGTCATCCTCTCTGGCTCCTCTCCTGATGGGAATGGTCACTCTGTCTGGTCTCTCTTCTGATGGGAGTAGTCACACTCACATTCCCTTCTTGATAGGAGTGGTCATCCTCTCCAGTCTCACCTGATGGGTGTGGTCACCCACCCAGGCCCCACCTGATGGAAGTGGTCACCCTCCCTGGCCCCTCCTGATGGGAGTGGTCACTCTCTCTGGTTCCACCTGATGGGAGTGGTCACCCTCTCTGGCCCCACCTGATGGGAGTGGTCACCCTCTCTGGCCCCACCTGATAGGCATGGTCACCCACCCAGGCCCCACCTGATGGGCGTGGTCACTCTCTGGCCCTACCTGATGGGAGTGGTCACCCTCCCTGGCCCCTCCTGATGGGAGCGGTCACTCTCTCTGGTTCCACCTGATGGGACTGGACATCCTCTCCAGTCCCTCCTGATGGAAGTGGTCACCCTCTCTAACCCTCCTGCTGAGAGTAGTGATCCCTCAGGCTTGTGGTCTGGATTGGGATTCCCTTGTGAGAAGGGGGCGGGACTAACGGATCGTTCTCGACAAGGAGGCGGGACTAAGTGCATGCTCGTGACAGGGGGGCGGGACTAACTGTTCCAGCCAGTGAAGGGGCGGGACTAACGGTTCCGTCGTGTCAAGG